GCTTGTATGTTGAGATAAGAACAATTTAATATTTTAAATACAATAAAACTTTAAATAATAATGATACTAATAATAAGTAATAAAATATGGAAATGAGTAATACACAGTGCAATTGCTCACCACTTGCCGACCAAGCCCAGCTTGTTTGCAGATAACAATCCTGGAAGAGCAAGAGCCCGAGAGAGAGAAAACCCCCATAAGACAGACGCCGTTATTAATATACTGAACACAATGTTATATGATATGGAATATTCCATTGGCATATCTGAATGCCAATCTATCTGATTAATTTAAATTATAAGAACCCCTAGGAAACCATGAAGTCCTTTGACTTCCGGCAACAAGTGAAAACATTGGTATGTTACCAGTGTTTTTCTCATAACGAATCCCAGGCTGAACCCAAAAACCAGTGCTATTCTAGCTACTAAAAAGAAACCCAGCTCTGTCTGAGCTGAAAGCCAGGACAACAGGACTTAGTTTCTCCTTGTTATAACTCCTGTTCTGATCAGTGTTTGGTTGCTCCTCACTTGAAGCTCAGTGTTAATTTGTTCTTTTTTAGAGTTTCAAGAGGAAACCTGGTCACGCAGACAATGAGCGCTCAATGGGAGACCACAACGAACACATCCACAAGCGACTGAGAACCATAGAATCCAGCGGTGAAGCAAAGCAGAATGCAGCTCAGCCGAAACAACACGTGGAGGAGGCCGATGCGTTTGAACATATCAAACAAGGCTCCGAATGCTATGATGCACAGACATACGGTACAGTGGCATTTCTGGTTGTAAAGAGTTGTCATTGCAGAATCCAATCTTGAAGCACTCCTACTTACTGTAGTTTCTCCCAGTACTTTTTTTTTTTAATTCTTTTTTTTAATTTCTCTTTGATTAAACACGTAGCACCATTTCACTACAATAAATGCCACTCTTTGGCAGGTAGGTTCAAACTAATGATAACATTTTTGAAAATACTGAATTCACTCATAAAAATGGATTTTAGTTTAATAAACCTACTTAAAATATTTTCTCTCCAAATCTTTCTTCAATTGTTTGGAAGCCCAAACTGCTACCACATATGCAAAATATTTAGGTTAGCACTACAGGTTCTTTATTCTGTATCAGACAAATTGATGTCTCTAAAAAATATTCCTCTAATCTAAATTTAATTAAATAAATTGCTTTCTGTGAAAGTAATTAGTCTATTTTATTAATCAAGTTTTCAGGGCAATAGCTGATTGACACAACATGGCACAGCACTGTGAAAGATAAAACCAAAGTTTGAGACTCAGATGATCTGAAGTTCATGAAAACTGATAGGTTTGAGACAGTAGCTCAGATGATCTGAAGTTCATGAAAACTGATATGCAGTGGCCTCAGAATGGAACTTTTTTTTTTTTTCCCCCAATGTCACTTCCTCTTTCCCCTTAATAAGGATTGTTGCCTTTATACAGACGTAGCTAGCAAGGAGCAGGAGAAACCTATTATGCCTCATGAAGAAAAGGAAGAGGGTGATTCTGAAGATGCAGCTATGGAAACAGAAATGGAGAACAATGAGGATCTCAAAGCAGTAGATACAGAGGAGCTGAAGCCAGAAAAAAAAACATCTACTACCACTAAAACTCCTGGTACATTAACTTAAAAAACATTCTAAATGTATGCTGAAGTGCATCTCTGAATGTATGTATAGGTATTTATGTTTGCATGTAATGGATGTGTACATACATTATAAGACTAAAACATCTGCTCTTAACTGACTTTTCTTCAGCAATGTTCTTACTCCTGCCTAGTAACCAGCATTAGCCTTTGCTAAATTGGTTGAGTGACAGTGGGGTTTACTGCTTTCTTTCAAGTTAATGGTCCCTAATCCTTATCCACTTCTTTGAAGAAGTAAAAAGCAAACACTTTTCCTGCTCTTAGACACAATGCCAATTTGCTTAATTAATTGGCATATAACAATTCATTCCAGTGTCACCAGCATCAGCACACCACATAACTTTTTTTGTGTATAACTTCTGACAAAACATCAAGAAGTTGAGGAGCTGGTCTGAACAACATCAGCTGAGGGAGCACCCAAGTGTCGCTGTCTCACTGGTTTCTTCCTTAAGTGGGAATGAAACAAAACAAAACTGAGCTGCCTAACAGAAAATGGCTATCAGATGCGAGTAGTTGGTAGATGAGAAGAAGACAGGTCTGACTTGCCAGCCACACAACCCACACAAACAGAATAAGCTCGCTATAAATAAGTATCTCTTGCTAACTGCAACAGAAGTGTTTAATTTTGATGAATCTAAGTAAATGACACTGTAGGTTGGAATTCTGAATGTTGTTTTATCAAGCAACAACAAAGCTGGCTGGAGAGGGGAGGTAAGAGTTTTACCAGCCTGAATTCACCTTCTTGCCTCCCACTCCCTTCAGCTTTAATCTCTTCACTTAAATCTCTTGCTAGACTAATTAGCTTTATGGTACGAGCAGGCATGTAATCAGTCTGTTTGTTTTTCCACGATTCTCTAACAGTATGTTCTGAAAATCTAGGATCTTTGAAACACCTCCTACAATGTCATACTTTTTTATCTTAGAATAATTCTTAAAAAGTTAGTTGTTAAACAGTGTAGTATAGTAGAAACAATAATAAAAGAAAATCTTTAGTCCATTCCTTTATGTGATTTCTGATTTGTAGGAAACTGTTCCATTACAAAAGTAGAGATGAGATGAGTGCCATTGATTTTTTTAATGATAATTTTCTGAATGTTCTCAAATTGCTTTATATCTCCTGTCACTCTGTCAGAGAGGCTATGAAGCTCAAAAAATGGAATTTTCAGGTGTCAAAAGATGTCTGCTAATATTTTGTTCATTTGATGAGAGAAAAACAGTTTGCATAAGGAAATGCGTATTTATGTGTTCCAGTGAGTTGCAAGGTCTTGTATTCATTCTATTCCTAGAATTGATTGTCTTAAAATTTGTGCATTTCTCCTAAAATAATGTCTGACTTGCACTGGGACACTTTGTAAAAGATTGGAGACGCAGTATCTGTTCTTTTCTTATGTGTCATCCACAAGGTTAGTAATTAGTTTTGTGATTGTAGGACCAGGTGAAGTGGAGCCAGAGATCCAGACTTTTGACTCGGAGGATGTCAATGACTCCACAACAGAAAAGCTGCCAAAGGTGATGGAAGAGAAGCCAGAGAGAAGCAAGGACTCAACCATACATACAGCCCATCAATTTTTGATGGACACCCCCCAGGTACGATACCCAATGTGTTTTCTTACAATTACAGCACTAGAAACTGTCTGTTTGACCTGAGTTAATGCAACTTTGTGAATGCAAAAGTTTGGAGTTACTGTCATTCAGACAGCTCGGTAGCTTGCTGTGTAGTAGCAGAATAAAAAGTAACACACAACCAGACGTTGTATATGCAGTTGAATTATGCCTTTAAAATGACAATTCCTCTCCATCCTCACTCTTTAAAAAACAGTTTCTGTTTTTCTAATTGTGAAGAACTGTTTTGCTCAGATGAATCTGCTGCTCAAATGTTTGGGTAGAGTGGAAGGTGATGGGCAAGGCTATGTGGCCTCAAGATAAAAAAGGGTGATGAGAGAGCTAGGCCTCCCTCAGTGACCTGAAAAGGTGGACCAAGAATTCACCTCACTTAACTCATCACAATGCACTGCTTCCTCAGAAAAGCTGACTGCAAGTCTTACAGAACTTTAGTGAGCCTTTTATGAATGTCACAATTCAAAAAGTACTGTCATAGCTGATAAAATCCCAGAGCTTCGTGTGACACTCTTGGTTTCCCAGTGCAAACCGTTAGCTGTGAAAAAGCACGTTTTACTATAAGGAGCTATGGCAGAGAAGCAGTTGATGGTGGATGACCAGTTGATAAAGTAAGACTATTTCCAGTGTCTGTTTTTGAGAAGTACTCACCTTTCATGCTTTTAATACTGTCCTGAGTAGATGCTCTGTGGGTGGTATTTTACTGTTTCTACACACACCATGGAAGATATGCCACATGTACTTGATATTTCCATCTTAATGCTAAATGTGCCGGCTCTTTGGAAAGGGGCTGAGAGAGCGTTCTGTTGTCAGAACAGTTTCGTGCTGTTTGTTTTGGTTGGTTTTTTCTTCAACTGACACGCAAAACCTGAAACAGGAGGGGGAGCTCTTGCATCACCAGTTAAAGGGGAAGGGAGAAACGTTACTGGGGGGAAAAGTTCTCATCTTTCAGCAAAAGGAAGAGGGAAGAAGCCCCCTCCATGTATGTTCTTCCTCCCTTCCTTAAACCTGCCATAGGTGACCAGAGGGACTGCTGCTGCTGCTGCTTCTTGAGGAATGAGAAGTTATTGGTACTGTTGAATTTGCATTCATAGGCTTATTTTCTTTAATCCAAAAACCTGCAGGTTATGCAGGCCATGTGCTACTGTTTGGCTAAACTATGTTTTTACAAGTCAGGAACAGAAGTTGTCACTGAAAGGACAATAAAAGTTGAAGAAGTGTAATAAAGCTTGAGTGTCTTTTAACAGAAAGGCTTATCAAATAGTGTTTGCTGGCAGGTAAAGAGGGAGTTGTCTTCCAATTCTTTGCGGTTTGAATGAAACTTTTAAAAAACCCTATAATTAAGTGAGGCATATTATATTTTGGAAGATACTAGATAGGTAGTGTTCAATAGTTTGATCTCCATTATACTGTCATTGAATCTTGTGTTTGTCAAGATCATTTCAGTGAATTATCTTGAAGTTCTGTATTTGATTATTTTCATTGTCTGTGTCATAGATGGTCCTAGCTTTGTTTCTGTGTTGACTGGGCCACAGCCATAGGTATTTTTAAGGGAGGTATTTATCCTTCCTGTACACGGGACCTATTTAAAAAATTGAGATTTAGAATCTTCATTTAAGTTTTTTTTCAGGTATCTTTGTGTCTAAAAAAATAAGAAAAATGCATTTTTATTTTTTCATAGTTTGCTATAGTTAGGGGATCACCAGATGTGTGAAATTATTTTTCTGTCTCATTAATCTCATACCTATACTTCTAGCACATTGTTAGAGATCCTGAAGAGCTAAGAAAGGAACTTGAAAGGCAACTGGAAGCTTGGCAGACACAGCAGTCTGGAACTCCAGATGAGGTTTGTAACCTTGTTTTGGTATAAAACTGTCATAAACATTCTTTATTGCATTATTTAATCTTGTTTTACTGCTGAAGCATTGAGGAAGCCAAGCAGGCTGGAATCTAAATATTCAAAATCACATTATTTAGATGCTATTTTTATTGTTATGCTTAACTTACTCTGAAAAATAAATTACATTATTCTTAAAGCAGGATGATATTTCAGATCACGTTTTGAACGTGCTTTGTGCTATTTGCAGGTTACTCTGCTGATAATGACTTCAAAACTTGCATAGTTAGAAACATTTTTCTCAGTCCTATGAAGCTCCTTCCATTTTGAGTTGTCACCTGCAGTTAAGTGCTGAGCACCACTTTCACAAAATTGCGATGGACAGAAGCTGTCTCCGTCAGTTGCAGTGGTGGAGTCAGAGCTAACCAACAGCAGAATATGATCCTTGCTCTGACTGTCCTAGTCATTAATTGTAAACCATTTGGAAGCAATTGGAAGAGGTTGCCCAAGGAAGTTCTGGATGCCACCTCCCTGGAAGTGTTCAAGGCCAGGCTGGATGAGGCTTTGAGCAACCTGGTGTAGTGGAAGGTGTCCCTGCTGATGGCAGGGGGGTTGGAACTAGATGATCTTTAAGGTCCCTTCCAACCCAAACCATTCTATGATTCTAATTCCTGAATTAAATTGCCAGTGTAGAGGCTTAATAAATTTTCTGACTTTTAATTAATGTAAGTAATACTATTTTTGATGGCTGATAGAGAACCTTTACGGCTTGCCTTGCTGTAATACCAGCTATCAGATGCTGGCTGTTACAAGATTTTCCTACATCAACAGCAATGACAAAGTTGCTTTGTGTCCTCCTAGAGGAATGGTCATGGCACGTTGCAGGTTTGTAGCAGCAAGGAACATCCCAAGTTGAATGCAAATAGTCATCTTTATAGAGCGCTCACAAGACACCCTCACAGCTCCAGCTGATAGTTACCTACTGCCTCCCCCTTGGTACACTGAGGCTTGTTTGCTTTTTTCAGGCAATGCTTCCCAACTTCTTGTGTTTTCATAATTCACTTTTATTTCTTTCTGTGATGTCTAATGTTTTAGGAGAAGGAAGCAGCACAATTGTGGCAGAGGTATTTAGTACTGACAGCTCCTCTATCACAGCAGCTTTGTGAACAGCTAAGGCTCATACTGGAACCCACTCAGGCAGCCAAACTGAAGTAAGTTGGGTCTTTGAGGCTTCTAGTTTTTTTTAAACTCCTGGTTTTGGAGGAGTTTAAACATCTCAAACATCTTTAAACATCTTTAACATCTGTACAACTGCAGCTTTATGTTGTTTTTGGTTTATAGCAGTTATTTCTGTTTGCAAATGCATTGATTTTGCTTTTTTATGGGAACACTAGGGAACACTAAGTTTTATGAAATGCAAACGTGATGTAGCAGTAGGTACCTGTCCTGAGGATATTGCCTCCTGTTTTTTCTTCTGTGTAACAGGTGTGTGGTGGTTTCACTCCCTTGGCTTGCAGCCAAACGCAGTTGCTCTCTCTATTTTGACTCACCTCCCCCCATGGAATAGGGGAGAGAATTGGAAGGATATGGGCAAGGAGGCTTATGGGCTGAGATAAAAACAGTTTTACTAATTAAAATAAAATTATAATGATAACAACAGTAATAACAGAATATACAACTTGAGTGATGCACAGTGCAGTTGCTCACCGGCCGCTGACTGATGCCCAGCCTGTCTCAGCTAATGATCCCGGAGCAGAGACAGTCCCGAAACCGCAACCCCGGAAGAGTGAGCCCGAGTGATCCCCGAGAGAATCCCCCCGTCTTCCGGTCATCCCTGGTTAATATCCTGACATGATGTGATATGATATGGAATATCTCATTGGTACATCCAGATGCCAGTTCTGGGTTTTACTGTTCACTACACTTCTCCCTCCCAGTCCTAATGCAGCTGTGAACCAGCCAAACACGATGGCCTTGAGCTCCAGCAGCAACTACTAACATTAGTACTTTTATCAGTGGTGATCTCATAACAGATCCCACACTGAAACTCAAACACAGCTATTCTAGCTGCTAATAAGAAAATTAACTCTATCCTAGCAAAACCAGGGCAAGGTGATCAAATCAACTTAAACCCGTGAAGTGCTGTTGAATCAAATATTATGTTAAATGTCAAAATGTTCTATGTTGTCTATGAAGTGCTGTTGAATCAAATATGTTAAATGTCAAAATGTTCTATGTTGTCTTTAACATTAAGTGATTTTTTTAAGAGATCTAGACTTGTTTCAAATTGGAGGAGTCAAAATTCAAGGTCTTCCTTCCATTTTAGGCACCTAGATTTGAGAACTTTTAAAAGCACTGAATATTCCATCTTGCTTTAAAAATGTGAGATTTTTTTACCTATACCTAAATATGAATATTAGAACTACTGATTTTGGTTTTATTGTATTTTATAAAATATTGTTATTTTTGATAATCCCTCTCACTGTCTTTTTTTTTTTTTTTTTTTTTTTGGTGGCAAGCTGGCTTTCAGAGGAGACTACAGAACGGGGAAGAGACTGAACATGCGCAAAGTGATTCCGTATATTGCCAGTCAGTTCCGAAAAGATAAGATCTGGTTGCGCAGGACCAAGCCCAGTAAACGACAGTACCAGATTTGCTTGGCTATTGATGATTCCTCCAGTATGATAGACAATCACTCTAAGCAGGTAAAATAAAACCTCAGAGGAAGTATGAAGAAACTCCTTATCACTGATGGGCATGTCAGCTGCTGGCGTGTTTCCTACAGAGCTGGTGGCTGTTGGAAAGGCTGATTCTGGTGATTCTAGAGCAGCTGTTTTTCTGATCCATGCACTTTGAGCTCTTGTCACTAAAAGATCAGTGAAAGTTAACTGAATCATAGAATCACAGAATGGTTAGGGTTGGAAGGGACCTTAAAGATCATCTAGTTCCAACCCCCCTGCCATCAGCAGGGCCACCTTCCACTAGACCAGGTTGCTCAAAGCCTCATCCAGCCTGGCCTTAAACACTTCCAGGGAGGGGGCATCCACAACTTCCTTGGGCAACCCGCTCCAGTGTCTGACCACCCTCACAGTGAAGAACTTCTTCCTAATATCTAATCTAAACCTCCCCTCTTTCAGCTTAAACCCATTTCCCCTTGTTTTGTCATTAACTGCCCTTATGAAAAGTCCTTCCCCAGCTTTCTTGTAGCCCCTTCAGGTACTGGAAGGCCGCTATAAGATCTCCCTGGAGCCTTCTCTCCTCCAGGCTGAACAGCCCCAACTCTCTCAGCCTGTCCTCATAGGAGAGGTGCTCCAGCCCTCGGATCATCCTGGTGGCCCTTCTCTGGACTTGTTCTAACTGGTCCATGTCTTTCTTATGTTGGGGGCTCCAGAACTGGACGCAATACTCCAGGTGGGGCCTTACAAGAGCGGAGTAGAGGGGCAGAATCACCTCCCTCGACCTGCTGGACACACTTCTCTTGATGCAGCCCACATTTAACATCTTCCTGAAAGGAGATGTTAAATTTCTTAGAGGTGTACATATCCACTGGAAAATTATTTTTTGTAATCTATAGAAGGCTGAAATTTGCTTAGCTCTGCAGTTCATTGGAGGAATAAATCTTGGTTCATCGTAGCTCATTTGTAGGGTTTTTAATTAAAAATGTGTGTTTCCTTTTAAGATCATTATTTCAGTGTTTATTTCGTTAGCCTGCCTGAAGTGGTAGCTCTAAATCAACCAGCTGAAGCCTTCAAGTAGAACTAGTGTATCTTTATTGCAATTACTATCTTGCATAACTGTAACAGGAAAAAAGATAGGAAGTCTCTTCATTTATTTTACTAGACTAATTTCAGTAACATCCTTCATGTTTAATAGTGAGCTGTGAGTAAAACTTGGCCTATCCCATTTTTGATGTAACTTTTTTCTTTAATAGCTTGCATATGAATCCCTGGCAGTGATTGGAAATGCACTGACTCTTCTAGAAGTGGGGCAGATTGCTGTGTGTAGGTGAGTTTATTTGAAACCTTGACTTTTCTTGAAGACTCCAGAGCAGAATGTTAAGTACCAGTTTCACACTAATTTTTTCTTCTTCTCTAAAGTTTTGGAGAGACTGTTCAGCTGCTGCACCCGTTCCATGAACAGTTCAGTGACCAGTCAGGGACACGGATATTGCGTCTTTGCAAATTTCAGCAGAAGAAAACAAAAATAGCCCAGGTACACGAGAATGCCTCTAGGGCAACAGGTTTGCACATCTCTCCTAGACAAAGACATCAGCAGCTTCATGGTTTCCTGATCACTTTGTAATGTTTACTGGTTGTTAATATTTGATAGGGTGATAGCTGGTTAGATAACAAAGAGATAGAATGGTCACAATTTTGTAATAGTAAGTGTTTTCTCACTTCTAGTTCTAATGCATGCCATGTTTTACACATTCATCTTCTCTGTTTGTATTGAGTCTTAAACAGTATTTTGGTTACAAGTTAGTACCTTGGTACCCCAATGCCAAATCCCATCAATCTCTGTGGGAGTTAGGGGGTTTTCATGCCATGGATTCCACTGTAGTAGTAGGTGGAAGAGCTTTGTATGTTTGTCAGGCTGTAAGTTTGTCAGACTTGACTGATTTCCTGAATAAAATAACTTTCTGTAGTAATACTTCCTGGACAGCTGCAAAGTTTTCTTCTTTTAGGAAGGTTTTTTGCACTCTTACCTTTCCAGACTTGAATAAGATCTGCCATTAATATTAAATAGAAAATGGGAGACGCAAATAGCTCAACAGGAATTTTATAAATGCCAGAATTGGGAGGACCTGACAGTTGATATCCTTAATTTTAATGTGGAATATGTAACTAGATACTTCTGTTGCAAGTTGAAGCCAAAGAAATTCAACCTAGAAATAGGATGTATATTTTTAATGATGCCATTAATCACTTAAAACAATTTACTGAGGTTTTGATAGCTTGTTGGCAGCGCAAAAAAATTCCAGATTGAAGGCTTTTCTAAAGATTCTCTAGTTCAAAAATACTTACTAAATTTGAAGCAGGAGTTAATATAGGAAAATGCCAAGAACTGTATCTGTGTAGGTTATCGGACTAAAAACTATCTTGGCATTTAAAATACAGAAATGTATTCTTTAAAAATGTTACCATTATTAAGTATATTATTTTATTATGAGATAACTTAATCTTATTTGTTTCCTCTGCAGTTTCTAGAATCATCAGCAAATATGTTTGCTGCAGCACAGCAGTTGTCTCAGAATATTAATCCGGGTAAGCTTTTTTTTGTTGTTGTTACTATGCTTGTTGCTGTGGCAGCAGAATGCTCAGTACAGTCCTGAAGCGATATCCTGCCAGAAAGACTCCTGGCACTGAGACATCACTTGCATTAGGGCTTTGGGTTTTGCTTTGTCAAAAGGAATGTTGGGTTGAAGTTTAGCTCAAAACCCAAAAGACACCTATTTGTCAATAATTCACTGAATTAAGGCCTTTTTTTAAAAAACAGCCTTACTTGCCTCCCTTAGGTCGCGTTTCCAGATTGTGTTTAAGTTCCTCCTGCTTTAGAGCATCACGCAGCTCTTCCTGGTGACCATGGCTCCCTGGGCACTTCTGCTCTTGCTTGAGAGCTTGATTTGCGTAGGTGTCCAGAAGCACACTGTTCTGAGGAGGAGAAGTGTTTGCCTCCAGTATACCTGCCTTTCACTCTGGTTTAAGTTGAGGTCATGAACTGCTTGAATTTCCTAGAGAAGCTGGAAGGCTTGTTACCTCATGGCTGACCCATAGTTAGCCTAAAAGGCTGCTTTGTGCTAGTTAAAAGCTTGTCATGGTGGCACTCATATTTTTAAAAGAGCTCTTGTTGTTAAAGTACTCCAAGAAATGGACAGCCTGTGATTTATAATCCACAGCTGCTTTGCCATAGGGTAGCCAGGCTGTCGGAATATTCTGTCTTTTTGAACTAGGCTGGGATGCAGCAGGCTGCTCCCTAGAATCAGGGAGCTAGCAGGAGAAAAGGCAGTAGGATATATCATCCTTTTTTGTAAAAAGACGAAGCCCTGTCAGATTTGGGGCCTGTCTGCAGAAAAGGAGGAAGTGTTCTGCATCTTCCCTAGCCATTCTGCTGCAGGGGAAGCAAGAGAAGGGCTTGCATTCCTGACTGTAATGACTGTGATTTCCCTTGTAATTAAAAGATGACAGACAGGTAACTTAGCTAGAATGTCCCTTTAGAGGGATATGTCTCTGACTCTGGGGGCAACTTGGGTCAAGTAACACATCTCCAGAAAATGGTTGGTGCTGAGGAACCCAGCACCTGTGCTGTGTGTATCTCAGGACGTTTACTTCAGAGGAGCTCAGCTGCTCCCAGGGGCTGAATGCCCTGTAGTGGTTGGACTGCTTTGACTGTGCCTTCTGCTTTAGTTTCCTCCAAGAAGAATCCATTTTGTGCAGTTCAAGATTGCTCTCTGATGGAAGCCAAGCCCATTAAAGTGAGCACAACAGGGAAACATGTTTCAAAAGCACAGTCTTAGTCCAAAGTGAAACACTAATACAGATGCACTGATAGGTACCTGCTTTTGGAGGAGCAGGTTTTGACTCTCTCTGTTTCACTGCAGCAGCTGCTGCTCTGCTGGGTAGTGGCTGGACTCCTATAATTCAGCCAACATGGAACTCCTCGGCACTTACCAGGCATGAAGACAAGGCCATGACTCGGGTCGCTAGGTGTCTTCCATGCCTTTCATCCTTGATCATGCTACTGAGGGACTGGGTTTTTTTTCCTCATTTGTTCTAAATGGTTTCACACAGTGGGAAAAACTGTATTTTTTGACCCACTCCTAACTGCAGCGTAATATTAAGTCCCAGAACTGTATTTGATAAAGACTTAATTTCCCTAGGAATGGTCTAAGGGTTTTTCCATTACACTCACAGGACCAATAACAAAATAGTCTGCTTGCCTTTAAGTGGATTACTCTTAACTTACTGGAACTTAAAATGTTCCTTGTTCTCAGAAACAGCACAGCTGCTTTTGATTGTGTCTGATGGAAGAGGCCTTTTCTTGGAAGGCAAGGAGCGAGTGACAGCAGCAGTTCAAGCAGCTCAGAATGCCAATATCTTTGTTATTTTCGTAGTGTTGGACAATCCGAATTCCCGGGTAAGTAAGTGAACAAGGTGGAAGTATTCAAGTGCACTGAATAAGAAATTGATACAAATCTTTTTCTTTTCTTTTCTTTCTTTTTCTTTTCTATCTTATCTTCTGCAGAGGTCAAAGATATTTAGCCCAATTTCAGTTTTTCATAACATCTGTCAGATCTTCTATGCTTTCTCCCTACTGTGATGCTTATCCTCTTCTGTATTTAAAACAAAACAAAACAAAAACCAACAAACTGGCTTCTGTGCCACAGAAAATCTAAGTAAGATCTCCTGTCTTTAAATGTAATGGTTGTAGATCTTGGCCACCAGAGAAGCAGCTGGCAGACTTACAAATTCAGAGTCTGAGAAACACTTTGTTCATCTCAGTTTTGTTTCAAATTGGTAATTTCTGACAGCATTCAGTCTCCATTTGATATGGTAACTGGAACCAATATGAGATTAAACATTAGATGGAAAGGACTATATGAGAGTTTATTGCCTGAACTGGGAAAGCTGGGCACCATATTTGGTGTTAGATTTCTTTGGTTAGGAAGCCAAAATATCTGGGAGCTTTTCAGGGAGACTCCGTAGTGCAGTAGGTGAGCAAACTTAAGCCTTACTTTGAATTATGTGATGAAGACTTAATTTTGTAGTTCACATTTTCTTCCTATATCTTAATTTTTCCATACAAAATGTATCTATTATATTTATTGTTGAAAAATTAACAATTCTCTTGCTGACAAACTATTGTAAGGTTCTGATGAAACCTAGCTGTATGTCAAGCAAAATTTCTGGGCAATGAAATCTTGTTTTTCATAAGCTGTATTAATTTTCTGAGCTGCTACGCTGAGCCAGCTAAGAAGTTACTTTACAAGAAGCACAGCTGGAGTTTAATCTGATTTTTGTCTTTGTAGTATTTGTTGAAATATTATAAAATAATGTGCTAAAGGATCTTGTATGAGATCACTGCACAAATGCAAGTTGAACTCTGAGCCCTAAAGAGCTTACAGATGAGAGTGTGCTGGGCAGGCATCAAATGTATAAGACTAAAGAGATAACAGTAAACTCGCATCAGAAAATACTAAGGAAAGACAGGATTTATTTCTAGGACTTGGTATTGCAGAAGCTTAAGCTTAATCTCTTCTAGCCTATAATTTGTTGATTAGAGCACTTTTATCTCAAAGGGCAAAAGTATTTAACTGCTTAACTGCTTTGTGTTCAGCTTTTGATTTGATTTACCATTGAACACTTACGGCTTTTAATCTTAAAACTCTTCTATTAACTCCTGATTTAACAGAGGAGGAATTAAAAGTATTTGAAAAATAGGATAAATGATATCAAAGGCTTGTGAAAGATACAGGTGGTTTAGCAGTTAACATAAAATCTTTTTTACAGGATTCCATTTTGGACATTAAAGTACCTATATTCAAAGGACCTGGAGAATTGCCTGAAATCAGATCTTACATGGAAGAATTCCCATTCCCATTCTACATGATCCTCAGAGATGTGAACGCGCTTCCAGAAACTCTCAGTGATGCACTCAGACAGTGGTTTGAACTGGTGACTGCCTCAGACACTTTCTAGACTTTGTAGACAAAATCAATACCCAATTGCTGCTAAACCTCTGAAATATCCGAAATGGCATTTCATCGGAGCGTTCTAAGGCCTCTGGCTAACAAGGATTCACGTGCAGGAGCTGCCCCCTGGCACTCAGGCTGCCTAAGAACAAAATGGTTCGTTTAGGTGTGTCCTCCCACATTTGTGAGAGGAGAATTATGCAATGGTGAGACTGTCTTCTTCTTTCATTGCCTATTCCCACAAATAATGTAAAACTTTCTTCAACTTCTCTTGTAATACATTTTTTTTTTTTTTTAAATAGTAAGTTATTTGTAATGTTCACTGAGGTAAAATTATTCCTGCCCCTGTCTATTGCAATAAGAAAAAATCAGCCTTGCTTCTGGGAAGGCATTTCTGCATTAGAAGAACTTCAGGTGTCTTGCAAAAAAAAAGCATTCTTTAGCTTCACCCATGTGGCTGGTGCCTCTTTGAGGAGTGGGGGAGCAGGGGAAGCAGATGGTTTTAAACAACCAAAAAAATAAGTACTTGAATACTTGAAACTATTCTGCAGTTAAACACATCCTATGTAATTATTGCTGATTTTTGTCTGACAGTATCAACAGGGAGTTTTATGAATAATGCCATCTGATTGTCCCCATATTATCAGTTTACACTGTGAAGTTTGCCCCCCTGTCCAAGGCAGACATTGAGGACGTTTCATTGTTTCATTAATCCGATGTCTTAGAGCATGGGTGTGATTTTTCATTGCAAAAGCTATGCATCTTATATTATCTGTACTAATAAAAAGAGGCAACAGTTTGTAATTATGATGTCTGTTCTTTCAGTTGATCAAAGCTTGAATAAATTAACTGCATTTGCCACATAGAAATGCAGTGCACACCTATGAAGTTTCATATGAAAATGTGGTTTATGTCACTTCAACACCTATCCTCCCTTTATGAGGATAATGCCAGCAGAGAGTTTCGATTAGGGGTCCAGTCTTTTGACTTCTCTCAATGAAAATCTGAAGGAAACTTTTGTTTAAATGCCCCTGGTCTAAACTCTCTGAAGACTTTTTGTGCATACAAGAAATTAAGGTGTCTCATTCTAAGTGGGGTGCAGGAGCTGATCAGAAAATGGCTGGAAACGTGGGTGTATTCCCAAAGATGTGATCGTTCTCTTTGGTTTCTAGGTAGAAAAACTTTACTTCAAGTATTGCTGTTCTGAGATGCAGCAGTGGCAAGACCCAGAGGTGTGAAATGGACCAGCAAGGCTGTTTCTGGTATTTGTGTAGCTTTGCCACAGCTCATTAATGATAAGCAAATTTCAGAACTGCAAACTTTACAGGGTGACTCTCTCCCATCAGAAGTTAATTGTCAGGTACTATATACTATCTTTCCAGGGTTCTTTAGATCTCCCACACATGTAGAGAAATATGTGCATGCTTTGGGAAATTTAAGTGTGGAAGTAGGTGGTTTTAGTTCATTAGGTAATTGTCCAGAATGTACTTCCATTTCAGACTTCTAGTGAATATTTGCAGCAGGAAACTTGGAGAAAATATTTTAGAAATTGAAACTTTTCTTAAGATTGCAAGGATACACTTCCAATTCAAATTACAGCTTGTTGCCGGGATCTTGTTGCAGGGATGTGTCGTTAGAGCCTGAGACAGTTTTTATCACCAGTGCTTTATCATTCGTGCACAAATGCTTAAACCAAGTTTTTTCTGTCTGTAATTAACAAAGGGCTTGCACTGTATTTGGTAGAAGCAAACACTGAGTAAGTGACAGAGAATGGTGTCAGTTAACTTGTTTTTTCTCTGCTGTCCAGCTCTATGGCTGTATTTGGGTTTGACATTCATTGACACATCAGTGCTAAAGAAACTATCAGTGCCTTGCACTCTGGGCCCTTGTTTTAATTTTATCCTCCACTTCCAAGTCTTACAGCTACATCAGTCTTCAAAGCACAGGCCTTCTGCCAACCCTTCCGTGAAATGCCAAAGTGTTGTTTTGTACTTGG